GCAAGATAGCGTACATCTCGGCCCAGCCAAACTCAGGGCCCCCTTTCTCATTGGTGGAATCCTTACGGGAATTCAAAATTGGTTACGATGTTGGTTTTGGGGTTAAGACACATATATAAATATATCTCCATGCATACTTACATACATACTGTAATAATAATAATAATAATAATATATAATGTATACCTACACATGCATATTATTAACACACACAAACAGAGACAGAAACGCACACACATACAAAGACAGAGACATTAACGCACACACAGCAAAAGTCTCAATATCTACTAACAAAAGATTCATTGTTAACTTCACACCTCCTCTAGTCTTAAGTTAACAAAAGGACTTGAATTAAACTAATCTTAATACTAAAAGGTTGCTTTACACATGATATATATATATACTATACTGTAATATATACAAATAATAACCAATATATTTCTTTATTTCAATGCGTCTTTTCCAAATAAGACAATATCAATGAATTCTTTTCAATTTTTGGCCGTTTTCAATGAGGATATTTCAATGGGCTTTCCAAATAACAATATCATAAATTCCTGTTGTATTTTTTCTTTTTTTTTAACCTTTTCAACTAAGATAAATCAATATGCTTTTCAAAATAATATCAAATTAAAGCCAAATGTCATCCATTTTCGATTTTCCACCTTCCCCAACCATGAATAATTACTTCCTTGTAACCAAACCTTTTCAATATAAGAGACAGACAATATTTAAATAAACCACAGAATATATTGTTTTGTATATATATATTTTTTTTTACTACCAAAACATTCTCTACTTTACAATGTGTGGATGAGGGGTTGGTTGTGTGTGTAAGGGGGCGAGCTGTCAAGAGGGAGGACCCGGCATGGATAACAGTCACTAGTTTTTGATGCGGCGGAGCGGCCAATCTGACGTCACCCTCCCACCTAGGTTCTTCGGTACTCTGGGGTCGACGGTCTTGGTACAGTCACCCGGTACTCAGTGGTCGACGTTCTTGGTACAGTCACCCGGTACTCAGTGGTCGACGTTCTTGGTACAGTCACCATGTACTCTGGGGTCGACGTCAGTGGTATATCTGGCATCCTCCCTCCCCCCCCCAGGGTTCTTCGTTACCCCGGGGTCGACGTTCTGGGTACAGTCGCCGGTGAGCTGGGCCGACGGCTACCCCCCCCCCCACACGTGATAACAGGCGAACTCTGAAAATGGAACGAAACTTCCCCTTACGCCGGGCACCTCTTGAGTTGTGTGGGGAGTCTGCCTTCCCCGAACAGGAACAAGCACACCCGGTCAACGATGAGAGAGAGCGCGAAGTCGGCAACGAGGACTTTAACCAGCATGAACCGGTACTGTGGGCGGGGGGAGAGAAAAAGTATTAGAAATCATCGTATTGTGAATCATCTTTAGCCCCCATATGTTTTTCACTTGATGATTAGACCCCATAGATTATTTCACCTGAATTATTAAATAGCTAAGACAGACATGCAAACAGGGACTAGAACATATATATAGACAGACAGACGGATAATGTACAGATATATGAGAGAGAGAGAGAGAGAGAGCCCACGTTACCTCCGACGGGAAATCCACAATCTCAAACTGCTCCGCGAACTCTGGAATGACCCCCAAAGAGAGAGCCAGCACGACCCCTCCTGACCCCATCAAGCTGTAGAGCAGAGCCTTGTTTTCCAGTAAGCTTTCCATGAATGGGTGGCCCTGTTTTATAGCGGGAGAAGAGAGGGATTATTTGTGGTCGATATGTGACCTAGTTTAACCTAATCTAACCCAACTTAACCAAACCAAACCTAGTCTACCCTAATCCAACGTAGCCTAAGCTATCGTATCGTAACCTAATTCAACCAAAACTAACCTAATCAAATCAAACTTAACCTAACCTGACCTGACCTAATCTAACCTAACCTTAACTTAACCAACCCAAACCTAACCTAACCTCAAAACAACGTACACAAGTTCTCGGCCGTCACAAGGGTACAACGCGACGTGACTTAACCTCACCATCAACCCCAGAGTAGAGGAATTAAACTCACCCGGTAATTAATGGCAAACGTCGAAATTTGCAGCGTCATAGAGATAACATAGACGGTACTGTTCAATAAACTGGGCTCAAACTCCTTGTCCAAGTCGACGAACTTCTCTCTGAAAATTAGAACGAGTTGCATTAATATTGGACTTGGGTTTATGACTTATGAAACACCCTGTACTGTAGAGGCAGTTTTATTATGGTATATGACCTATGACACCCTGTACAGATAGGACCTATGACACACCCTTCTGTACAGAAGGGACCCATGATAATAATCTCTGTAACAGAAGGACCCATGACACACCCCTGCACAGAAGGGACCCAGACACAACCCCCTGTACAGAAGGGACCTATGACACACCCTGTACAGAAGGGACCTATGACACACCCTGTACAGAAGGAACCTATGACACACCCTGTACAGAAGGGACCTGTGACACACCCTGTACAGAAGGGACCTGTGACACACCCTGTACAGAAGGGACCTATGACACCCTGTACAGAAGGGACCTATGACACACCCTGTACAGAAGGGACCTATGACACACCCTGTACAGAAGGGACCTATGACACACCCTGTACAGAAGGGACCTTTGACACACCCTGTACAGAAGAGTTCTTAGGAAGACCTCAGGTTTGGAGGAATTTTATACATTAATTTCTCAGGTTTTCATTATTTACTTAACCTAACCCAACGTGATCCTAACCTAACCTAACCTAACATGATCCTAACCTAACCTAACCTAACCTAACATGATCCTAACTTTAATCTTAACTAACCTAACCTAATGTAACCTAATCTAAGACAGAAACTGAGTCATTTACAGATAATTGAATTCAGGGTTATTGATTGTGATTTATTCATTAGTGTGGACCAATAAACAGGTAATTGTGTGTGTGTGTGTGGTCATCGATGCATAGATACAACGATGGCTCAGAGGCTAGGCTGTCCACCCAAAGGCTATTGACTCTAGAAGGAACAAGACGTCGGGTATGTTTCTGCTTTCCACTCATATCAATAAACGTGTAAAGGACATCAGTAGATAAATAACAACATGTCAATAACCCCGGTGATGTTATTAAGGTAGAGAACATGAACATATGTTATTTTAGCCTGCGTGGGTCACCTGAACATAAGCCTCCCTCCCAGATAGATTCAGGGAAGTTAATTTGAGGTTATGTTTAGCTTGGGGTTAATCTTCAGGTGAGCACTTGGGGGTTAATCTTCAGGTGAGCACTTGGGGGTTAATCTACAGGTGAGCACTTGGGGGTTAATCTTCAGGTGAGCACTTGTGGGTTAATCTACAGGTGAGCACTTGGGGGTTAATCTTCAGGTGAGCACTTGGGGGTTAATCTTCATGTGAGCACTTGGGGGTTAATCTTCAGGTAAGCACTTGGGGGTTAATCTTCAGGT